CGGCCTAATCGAACACTCGAAGCCTAACTCGCGTGTCTCGTTCGCGTACTCGCGCACGCGAGGGGGAGAGTGGACCGTAAGAACGGCCTTGTTATTACAGATGCCGCTCGTTCAGGGATCCCGGGGTGTATTTCAGGCACAAAGAGAGAAGGCCTCCTTCCAATCCGGAAGAGCGACGCCTAATTTTTGGGATCTCGTACGTGCGTTTCTGAAAACGCGCGCCGCGCCGCCGACGCGCTGAAGTATCGATTTTGTTCGCAACAGTCCATCATCCAAAATACCGGTGCCAAAAAAAATCCGATCCTTTATCTTCTTCATATGTGAACCACTCTAATCGTAAGCGGCTTATAGATAACTTGCAAATAATATTTGCTTGAATTTGAATATTTAATAAGACACACGTAACCATATCGTTTACTCAAATATCGTGTCTCGTTAAATTGACTTTATATGGTAAACGCTAATTAATGGCTAATATTAAAATGTAACGCAGCGAGTTATTCATAGTAATAAAGCCAAGTCAGAAAGGATTAATGTAATTTTCACGTCGCTGTTCGTTTCTGCGCGTGCATTAATCATCACAAGTACCAATCGGGTCACGACTCGTACGTGTATTTGCGACGGCGAAATACACAGCCCTTCTCCTATCTATTTACTACGCGTATCTGAAATAATATTTTTCTTGTTCGAAAAGGCGAGTACTCGTCCTTCATTTTTTTTCGTCCGTCAAGGGACGAACGTGAAGAGGAAGCTCGCGGCGAGGACATCGTCAGTCGTCGGCGCCGGTATCCTCCGGCGGATCTTCGACGTGGGGTTGAATCTCGACGTAGTATTAACGTCGCGACGCGACTCTTTCGCTCGCTTTTACCAAAGCAAACATTCGCGGCGAAAAAAAAAGAGCTGAGCGCCGATGCCGATGAGCGACGACAGTTCTCTCGTTTAAATCGTCACCATGACGGGCGCGCTCTTTCTATAATTACGACGATGTTTTTTACATCTTTTCTCTTACACGTATTCACGACTGTTAACACGTACGTTCTCCAAAATTTCCGAGTCTTCACCGCGTGCGCGCGCGCATCTTGCTCTCGCGTTCTCATTAATACCCGGAAGAAGTTGAAGGATGCCAAGTGCCAAGTGAGAGGTCGGGGATGATAAAACTGTGAGGAACGAGGAGGAACAAGGACGCAGTATTGATGCCGAGAGCCGACCGCGACGGCGCGGCGGCGCCAAGATTAGGCCTTGTTCGCGGTGGGACTACGCCACGCGAGATCTTCATCGCGCGGCGGCAAACAAACGAAATCGAACACGTTGTTTTCGTACGGCGGCTAAGTAGCGACCGCTATCCGGCGCGCGTGTCTTAGATCGGGAGGAGCAAGAAGAAGGGTATCGTCGATGAGAAAGAGAAAGAGAGGACGCGAAGGGGATGCGCCGGGAATATAAGTGATGGACGGGGGAAACTGACGAACGCGAAGAACGAGGAAAGAGAGGAGGTACGACGACGGTGACGAGGGCGAGGGGCAGCACGGAGACGAGGCGACAAAATCAATTATTTTGTTAAACAACAAGCCGTGTTATGTTAGGTTTGCCAAAATAACCAAAACAACGACGCGCTCGCGTTTCTGCGTGTACGCCGCGCCGGTTCATTCATCCGCGCTCTCACCGCGCCCACCGCCATTCCCATTCATCCTTCCGGGGCGAGAACGTATCATCGAAACGGATAATCGACGGCGAAGCGGTTTTTCCGGCAGCTTGGGACCCGCGCGCGCGTCTGCAGGTGTGTCACCAGTTGTGTCATTATTAATTGTTACGCGCATTATGCCGCGTACGCCACGCGGTATTGCGAGAGATAAACTGATTTCGGGATCGCGCGAGACAACGTATGCGTTTGCCTGAAATACAGGTGTTTAAAAAAAATGTTAACACTCATATAGAAGTAACTTGGGACTGTATGGAAGTGTTTCAGGGCTTTGGACACCACCTGAGGAAGATTCCAAGAATATGTTGACAATGGTGATGATGATGAGACAAAGTACATTTGTTACTATGACATCTTGTGTTGTCGGTTCAGTTTCTCTAAAAAAAACTTACTTCCATATAAGTGTTAACTTCTTTCAGGGCGTAGACGTATTCACGCTTAAGATATATTTTTGAGAAAATCTCTATGACGATGCAAAGTAAAACGTGCGATAACGTGTAATAAATATAGAATCGTAAATTCCCGAAAGATTACGGGTCCTGCAGATGTATTTTCTTCAGACAGAAGGTAAGATAGAACGTATTATATATTATTAAAATTATGTATTATATGTATAATCGCGTACATATTAAACGTAACATATATATTAGAAAGTATAAATTCAGGAAAATAGATCTCTATAGGGTTACTATTCCCTTTAACGTTCTTCGGATCTGTGAACGTCCAGTTCCATTACTTCGTTCTTAAATGTACGTACGATTTCGATTCATGATCTCTGCGTGCGTATACTATCGTCTTTTAATCGCAACTATTGCAAGATATGCAAACACATATATGAGATATGAGTGTTCATTCCAAAGTATCGCGCGCGCTGAAGAGAACAAGGGTCACGAAATTTCGTGAAAGCGCAAGGTGCCGTGCTGGGGCACCGGGGTGGCGAAGGGGAGGGAAAGAGAGGGAGGTTTCGCGGTATCATGAGCTGTGCACTCTTCAAAAAGTACGGAACGAACGAGCGAAGAAGCGATCCATTAGGTAGGAAGCCCCGGCTGACACGCCCTGACGCTATCAAAACACGCCTTAAAACTTATATTCCAGCGCCGGCGCGACGGTGGTAGTAGGAAAGCCGCGTACGTGAGATAAAATAACAGAGTGTAGTTAACAGGCTTGGGTAAAAATATTCACGCTAGCTTCCATATCTCCCTCTCTCGCGCGCGCGCGCTCGCTCGCTCGTCCTCCCTCCCTCCTTCCTTCCCGCTCCACCCTTCCTCCCTCTTCCCCTTTCTCCCGCTCCACCCTCTCACGTTATCCGCGTCTACGTTTCTCTCTCTCTCTCTCTCTTTTCCCTCTTTACCGTCCTTGCCCGTTCCTGCGCGTTTTTGCAGTCACACATTTCGAACGTTCGCAAAAATACGTATGTACACGTATCATTCGCATCGAATAATCGAAATGGTCGTAAAAACAGCGGCCGCGCGCTCGCCACCCCCGGGGAAGGAATTTATAATAAATTTTCCAACGATCAGTCGCGAGAAAACGTATTTGGGTTTATGCAACGTATTCTGGGAATACCGTGTCTGAGGCGTGCGTTCCTCTACCGAAATCCAGCGCGCGCGCAGAGTTCGTACGCGAAGTAGTTGTCCATAAGGTTTCGGCCTTTCGTACTCACGTACTCGAAACATCTTTGATAGGGAAAAGCCGCTCGCAATGGTCGTTAAAGAAATAAAGCGTACCGTGAATCAAGAGACAAGACGTCGAGGAAAGAAAAAAAATAAAAAATACAAGAAAGTTTAGCCGCAAAGAGCGGCGAAGATCAACTCGACCGTCGACACGCGCGTAGCTTTAATAATGTAAGAAATAAAGATATATATTCTTGAGCGTGATCATGAGTCTAACAATATGTAATCATGCATGTAGTGTAAGCGTACCGAATAAGGATCCGATTTAATTTTGGTCGAACAGGTTCATCGCCGCAGTCCGCACTCCGCACCCTTCTACGGAGTTGTGCGGCTTTAATCACACTGTCGCCATCTCTCGCACTCGACTGACTCGACACGTCTACCAACCTCGGAAACGCGTGTACCGACAGTCGTGCGTTCTAAATAGTAGCAACACGTAAAAGTTATTCGACAATCTTATATAATATATCTCATCTGTATAACAATAAATAACGACGTTAATACTACATTATAAATTATAACGTGCTGCAGTATTTATTAGGCGTTTTCCCTTTACTGACACAAGTGTCATTCTGGCTTTGTTATTTATTGAATGCCAAGAAAGATAGATAGATAGAAGGTCGCGTTTGTGTCGACTTGGACAAGTTTAGGGTATATCGACAGTCGTAATACTTAACGTATCTTCGGGCTCTCCGAGTTCTATACGTAACCGTGAAACGTTACCCATGCTTGATAATCTTTATGCAGGGTGCAGGCAGCGCGGGATCTTCTCGGTGTCAAAGCGTTTCATATCGATCGACCAGTCGGGGCTCGGGCGCTCGGGCGCTCGGGGCGCCAGATGGCACTCGACGCGACATCTGACGGCGGCACTATGCAAATCGGGGGTCGGCGAATAAATCAGAGACGTCCGTATCTGATGCAAGCCTCGAGGCGACAGGTGCAATACGTTGCGTGTCCGGTGTCGCACGATCGACTCGACTACCGCCACCGCGTTGCGCCACCGCCACGTCGTACGCTTCTGCGAGGCAGCCGGAAACACGAAGCATTAGTAGGTATCCCGATTATCACGTGTTACGTGTCAGCGCAACGCACGCCTGCTCTTCACGAACATATGGAGTGCCGTTGTGCGAAACGGGTCTCTCCGATCTTTCATTTCGATTCGCGACAAGTCGCGATCGTCGTTCGATCGGCATTGGAAATTTTACGCCTACGTCGCGCGGCGCGACGTAATGCACGGTAATGCCATATTTGGAACGCGCGGAAGTTTCGAAACGAGGTCGCGCGTCGCGATAACGTATCGAGGACAAAACTTTATATTAATAAGGTACTATATAAGTTTATACAGGTCTACATAAAAGAAGAGGAAAGAGAGAGAGAGAGAGGTAGGAGCACCGAGACGGGCGAGTTTCGGGTTTCGGGTCGAACGTGGCGCCCGCGCGAAGCGCGCGCGTCGCCGGCCAATCCCAGGTCGGGGCGCATGCGCGGCGTGGTCGCGCGCCTACGCGCCGACGCGTCGTCGCGGCGGGCTTGCGGGTCGGACTTTAGCATCGAACGTTGCGGTAGCGACGAACGACGCCGATTGGCCAGCGTGGCCCACGAAGGCTACATCCGGTCGGCGGCGCCGCAGTATTGGTCGATCGCGCGCGACGGCATCAACGGCGATGGTGGTGAGCGAAGTTGGTCGACGTTCCTATATACATTATTGATAAATAGCTCGCGTCGTTGTCGAGTGTGCGACTTTTCCGTGAAGCGGCCCCCGGGGAAGCCAGCCGACGGTGCGGTGCGCGGGTGCGTTGGCCGATCGCGCGTGGTGCTACAACGTCGGTCGACCTCGTCGCCGTGTGCTGACTGCTGAGTCGTTTCGCGCGACGGTGTCTCGTGCGTGAGCCCCGAGCCTCGAGCTTCCCGTCTCGCGCGTGGAAGCCAAGGAAGAGAACCGCGGCGGACAACGGACGGCCGCGGTGCACGTACACGTACATACATACGACGTACCGTGACGACAGTTACGTGAGGAGGAGAGAGGGAGGGAGAGCGAGCGCGACGGAGGACGGGAGGAGAGAGGAAGTGAGGGAGAGGGAGAGAGAGAGAGAGAGAGCGAGGAGAGAACGCGCGCGCGTCGCCTCGCAAACGGAGATCGGCGGCGGACGGGAGCAGCCGAGCGCGAACGACGGGATTATCGTGTGCGCGTTTCTGGGTGTGACGGGACGTGGTGGTTCGCAGTCCAGTATCGGTGCGCGTCTCTTTACCGGCGACATCGTGCACGCGGTGGTGTTGTGCGCGAGAGTGGGCCCCTGTAGGGCCGGGGCCCAGGCAGCGTTCCCTCGCTAAAGCCTGCGGCGCTATCCCACGAGAGAGCATGCCGAGCCTGGCCACCAAGAGGTGAGAGCGAGCGAGATAGAGGTAGGGAGAGAGCGGGCGAGCGAGCGAGAGAGCACGAGCGTATCAGAGAGAGAGAGAGAGAGAGAGAGAGAGCTTGAGCGCGCGAGAGAGAGAGGGACGGAGACGGCGCGAGAGCGAGCGAGTGAGCGAGCAAGAAAGGAAGGAGAGCGTGCGTTGTAACCCGTGAATCCGAGGGAAGCGACTACCTTCGAGGCCTGTTTTTTTGCTCCGCCATTGTACCATCGCGAGACGACCGACCGTCCGACCGATCGTCTCGGTGGCGGCAACCGTGGAGGGACTGGAGGGAGCCGCTCGTTTTTGCACGGATGACGCGCGGGCGTGTTCCTGTACGGCGTCTTCGTAAGCGGTAACGAGGAAGAGGAGAAGAGAGGAGGTGATAGGGGTGGAGGTGGAGGTGGAGGATATCGGTCGTCGTCGTCGCGGCCCCCGGTCACGCCGCCTGCGTGTTCGCGTGTTGTTGTTCGGGCGTGCTGCTCCTCGACGCGACGACGGCGTAAAACGGCGCTCGATACTCTCTCGCCGTCGCGGTCGTTGCGGGAACGGAACGCGGGAGCCGCGCGGCGCGGCCGCGGCTGCGGCGGGGAGAGGAAGGAGGTAATAGTGGCCGCGTCCTCGTAGAGCAGAGTGGCGCGACTCGCGACTCCGCGTTCTCGCGCGCGACGGCGCTGAGAAATCCCACGAGAGTATCGGGCGCCTCGCGCTGCTGCTCCGCTTCTCCGCTTCTCGTCATTGTCGTCGAGCGCTTTCCGTTACGGGCAAGTACTCGTACTTGGTACTCGTGAGTTCTCGAGCCGGCCTCGTAGATTATCCGGATTTCTCGCGGCTGCAGTTCGTCGATAATCGGCTAGCTAGACCTATTATAGACGGAGCAGCAGCGGCGGGACCGAGCCGGCTTCCGAGCACCGCGTGCTGAAGCGCGTTCTCGGAGCGTCTTGCGGAACGCTCCGCCGCACGTTGCGAGAAAAAAGTGTACGGCGCGACGCGGCGCGTTATGCAATAGACGCCGCGCGCGCGGCGCGCGGTCGACGACGACGATGACGAGGACGTGGAGGAGGAAGCGGCAGCAGCGGGGCGCGACTCTCGTAGTTCTCTCGCGGCTCCGTTCTTTTTCATTAATTCGCCGCGAGCGTATCACGTGGTAATGCGTCAGACCGTGTGCCGCTGCTTTAATTTACCTGCCTGCGTTACGAGCGAGCGCGTGCGTTCGTGTGCGTGCGCGTTGCGTGTGCGTACGCCGCGCGCAGCGGCGATGATAAAATTACGGCACGTCGCGCCGGAAGGCGCGTGTCTCTCCCGTGAGCGCGGAGGAGAGAGAGAGGACGTCGCACCCTCGGAAGAGCCCTGGCTCGCCGTCCTTTTCCCTCGGCTCCCGTTCTCTCGCCTCCGCTCCTCTCTCTCTCTCTCTCTCTCTCTCTCTCTCTCTCTCTCTCTCTCTGACGCCCTCCTCCTTTCCCTCCCGTCCTTCGCCCGTCCTCCTGCCGGCACTCCCGGTCGAAGTCTCCCTTTTCTTCCCATCCCCCTCTCCTTTCCACCGGAATCCTTTTTCCTTTCGGGCTTTTGCCCGCTCTCGATTCCTCGTTCCGTAGGTTGCCGTCTTTTTCTCTCGATCCCTTTTTTCCCCGCTCGCTGACGAAGCAGACGAAGCTCGCGTCCGTCTCCCTTTGTCTCACTTGGTCGCGGCCGACACGACGCCCGCGTGCTCCGTCGCGGTGAAATATCGGGCTGCTTCCGGTGCGCGTGCACGCGCCGCAACGCGTTCGTGCGCGCTTCATCTTCCTCGTTGTTTTTCGTCGTGCGACGTGCGGTGGATACGGCGGGAACGCCCGCGCCGTAGATCTCGTCTCGCCGAGATTACCCCGCGTTACGATCTTTAAAAACTCTTAAGTTTAACAACATTCCGCTTTGCGCCGCGACAACGTGGATGAGGACGCGTGCGCCGGAGCTCCGCGTTGATAGCGAAACGCCTCGATAAGAGGCTCGCGCGGCACGGGGAAGATAAAGGAGAGAGGACGTTGCGTGATAAACGGGCGTGCGCGCGAATCAGCTGGCCCCGCCGAGCGTCTTTCTCGAGAGCGTGAAGAAAGAAAAGATAAAGAGATACATCTGTGGACGTAGCCGGGAGTTTACGCTACCTCGTATCTATTGAGATTTCGTTGTTTATCACCGGTACGCGTGTGAGTCATTTGTATGTATCGGGACGCCTCCGATTCCGATGGGCGATGGGCGATGGGCGCTTGGTATCTGTCGTCTGCTATATCACGTGTTCTCGACGCCCCGTATCGCTCCCCCGATGGCCCCCCCGATATTTGCCGATTTCGTTTTTTATTTCCCTGACGCGTTTCGTGCGCAATATTATCCACGCTGAAATGCCGCAAACATTGTAACTATAGCAACGTCGCCGTCGTGCCGTCGGACACACTTTGGAAAGTTCGACGCTTATCGTCATCGAGATCGTCCTCGACGCGAAGCCTCGAACGATGAAGAAAACCGCACAGTTTTGCGATCGAGACGCGTTCTTGCTACGTTGCCGCGATAACATATTTTTTCAGACGCGTTCTCTCTGAGACGTATGTAGAGCGAACGCTGTCAAGTATCGAGTGCAACGCGAATGTAAAATTCTTAATGATACTTAAAACACTGTAAAAATCTGATAAGATAAAACTGTCTGTTGAAAATTAAAACGTCGTAACGCGTTGTTAAGCGTGACTCATCTATCGAACGGCTTGGGAATCTATTCCACGTGCACCCACGGTAGCGTTCTACTCTCGAGATTCGTCGGAATTTGCGAGCACCGTCTAAAATCTTTGTGGACGTTCAGAAGCGTTGCGTGAACGGCCGTGGGGGCAAGACGGAACCAAAGTTTATAAAAGAAAAAAGCACGACGAGCGACGTCGCGCGCAAAATGAAAGTTACGGCGTGTACCTCCTTCCCGCGTCAAAGCGCATCTCGCTGATCCACGCCGAGCCGGCCGAGCTCGATGGAGTGTACTCGGACGGCGAGTACTCGACCGTAAACGTGCTTTCCTGGAATTAATCTAATGATCGTAGTTTGTAGCTTTCGCTGCAGAAACGCGCGCGTGGCGTCTTTCGCGAAAGACGCGAGCGTGCGGCGTAAAGGACGTTTGTGACCTGGCGTTATCTCCTTTTCTTTTCTATCTTTTCCAGGACGCACGCGCACTCGCGGAAGAGGAACGGCATGCGGAACGTGGTGCACCGGATAGCTCCTGTCCCGACGCGCGAGGAAATATTTTAATAGCGCCACGTCGCCGACTGTAGCGAGCGGCCTGAGAGATCGCTGGGACGTATTGCGCGGGCACAAAGTCCGACTCTGGAAAGTTGTCGCCCTAAAACTAAATAACGTCGTTGAAAGGGCTACAAGCGTGCCGTTGTTATCATCGTCTTCTTCATCGTCGTCGTCGTCGTGGTCGTTGTTGTGGTGAGACGTTTTCGTTTACATTGCGAGAGGATACATTGGGATACGCTTAAGAGGACCGTCAAGTATGCTACGCTTCCTCAAACGTGGAAACGAAGTGAGTTGGAGTTTCGTGTTTGCCGCTCCGTAATTTCGCGCTGCCTCTTTTGGAACAAAGTCTATTGCGAGCGTGGCACAGCTTCACGGCAGTTATCTATGTGGCTTAAAAATGTTATGTAATTTTGCGTAACGCACAGATAACCCCGTTTGAGTGTGCGATTAAAGGGCTTGGCACTATTGAGTTTTTTTCGAACGTCTTCCATTGAAAGATACACGGCACTTGTTTGCAAAGTTGACAATATTGTTATCTGAATTTTTATTTAGAGCTCTTATTTATTTATTCTTTAAGCACCGCGTAACTCTCTTGAACGTTGTACGATAAAACGCATGATGTAATATTTCGACTTTTTGCAGGGAACCGGTATTGCCTTGTGACAATGGAACGCCATGCTCGACGACATGGGAGATACTGTGGAAACGACGTACGTATGTGGCCGCGGATGATGACGACCCAATGATAAACTGTTTATTGGAATAAAGCGGAAACACAGGACACAGAGTCAAGTCGAACGGTCAACAGGGGCGGCTGACGGTAAGGGAGGCAGGACAGAGCCGTAGTAATGGATGAATGGGAGTGAGCGCGGGGCACGGGGAGTGCAGGAGCGGCGGACGCGCACTTGGCGGCACGTCGTGGGAGCCTCTGGATGTGGAGGCCGCGGCACCGGCAGCGTCAGTGGCAGTGATGGCCCCTGCTCTGACGGAAGGCGGTCCTCAAAAGCCTGAAAACTTGCTCCCTACCCTACCAGCCGCCAGCGGCTTTCTGTCCGCCGAGCAGGCCACGCAGGTGTGCCAGAACCGTGAGATCCTAACCAAGTTCGTGGTGCCGGCGAACGTGCAACCGTCGAAGATCGACGAGCAGTGCTTGCGCGGTATCTCAAAGGACCTCATACGCGATGTCATTAACTCCAAGTATGCAAACGACCTCGACTCGCTATCTGCGTTTACGAACGCGTCCGACTTGATCGGATCGAGGAACGGTGCGGCGTGTTTGCAACAGCAGGCGGCGGCGCCGGCGGCGGCGGCGGAGGGGGAGGAAGAAGAGGAGGAGGACTTTGAGCGACCGGTCACGCTGCCGGACGCCGGTCACGCCGAGAGGAAAGCGATCGACATTATAATGAACGACCCATCTATGGGTGATGAAACGAACAACATGGGTTTCTTGAAATCGAGCGTGGACTTGCCCCTGGTGGCTACCGAGACCGAAACGGAAGACAATAAGAATCTGGACGTCGATCAGATCATGGCCTTCAGTACCGATATCACGGCCGAGCAGTGCAGTATGCCGACGGTCGCTGATATCGGGCACAACGTGGAGGAGATTTTGCAGGTCATTAGTTCGATAGAAGGTGCGGAGAGCACCGAGAACATTTCCACGAGCGGTGGTGAGCCGGTACAAGGCGCTGTCGACAGTCTCGGACATGGCGAGATGTTTGCCATGCCCGAGGAGGGATTCGCGTCCTTCGAGCGGGATTTACTTAACGACGTGGACGTAATGAGTCTTTGCAACGATAATATGAATATCCCAGTGGAAACAATTGACCAGCAAAAGTCCAACAGTTTGAGATCGCAACAGGACATTGTAGCGCAGAAACAGTTCGAGAACGAAAGGAGATGTGCGTTTTTATTGAGAAGACTGAGGAAACTTCAGACGAGAATAATGGGCAGACACGTGGCGGAAGAAAACACCGGCGTTCTCGAATTGGCTCATCACGGAGTGAAAAAATATCTTCTACAAGAATTGGTTAATATCGGTTCGAAATCCAATGTGAGAAACTTTCCCGAAATTAGCGGCAGTTTACATTCGTTTCTGCAGAAAATTGAGAAAATGTGTGTTGCCCAGAGTAACAGTGTGAATCGTCAAAGAGTGTGTCGATACTTTGGTGGAGGGTCGCGCGATAACGTGGTTGGTACGTCCGGCAATAACGGTAATCGCCAGCCAGTGTTTGGTACCCCTCAGGTTAAACTAAACGGTGAAGAAGTGGAAAATGTGGCTGGATCTTTGTCCACGCAATTACATATTGTGGAATCTAACTTGGATTCGGACTGTACGGCATCCAGCAGTGGTGGAGAAAGTTGCGATGAAATGCAGACATTCAACAATACGCAACAACAACGTCTGTCCATGTAAGTTCTGTTAAACAGGAGATTTAACATTAGTATTAATTTAACATTAAGCATCAATGCGGTTTACATGTTCTGTCCATACTAATTTTGCGCAATTTATTGATTTATACTTTTACGTTGTGCTTATCTAAAAAAATATACGTTAAATATAATTATGACGCTTTATAAGAGGAAAAATAATGTATAAAGAAACAGGCTGCTTATTCAACTTGTGATAAATAGTATTCGAAATATTCTGAATTATTTTGAAACAAGCGCATTTTTTTATATACATCATGTTCAATTGTGACAAGCACGTATTATAGCAAGTTATTATAAGTAATAGAGTTCTATGAGTGTTAAAATAATGGACTAGAGTTTTTGTAATAGATGATTAATCCACAATATTAACTTGTTTATTCATACGTATGAGTTTTGAGTTTATCATGTATTCTTCTTTTGACATTTATTATGTTTGGTTTTGATATTCTCTTAGCAGCTCAAGTATTCAATCTTCATTATTAAATATCATAGTGTAGAAAGCCAAACTTTATTATTTAATTAATCTTTAAATGTCCTAAATGATTTTTAGATAGACTTGTTAAAATTCTACGTTTTGATGGTTTATACGTCGAGACGTATGCCTCGATATAAAAATAAGCGGGAATTTTCTTAACTTGGCCTCTGATATAAAGTTTTGAAATTTTTTAGTTTGTATAAACAGTACAAGTATCAAGTACCGCGCGTTGAAGAAAACGGACCGAAATATGTTTTTTGGCTCGGTTCTGGATTCTTTATCGTTTGCTTATTTATAAAACACTTTGTTTCGAAAACACGTTCGTAATAGTTTGACGTTTGGAACGCGGATTTAACGTGTATTTGGTTTCTATGGCTGCAACAGTCGTGTGCATATTATATTCGAGTTGAGTGATTCTGTAAAATGAGGCGATATAAGATTGAAAGTAATTTATTATTCAGTTTCATTTATCGAGTCCACGCTTCTTAAGGTCTCTCGGCATTCTATATAGTTTCTGCGACAATAGGCTACACACTGATTCGTTATTTGCACAGATCCAAAAGAGCAGCATGGAGATATGCACAGGATCGTGCAGGTGTAGCATCACGGTGGACATGGCTACAGGCACAGATATCAGATTTAGAGTACAGAATTAGACAGCATAACGAACTGCAACGGCAGATTAGGGCCACGAAGGGTCTGGTCGTTCTTGAAAATGCGGAGACCGTTAATGGATACAGTGGCGCTCTACCAGGGTCCACTGGACGATACACGTCACCCGAGGGTGAATTACCAGCTAGTAGGACGCGTCCATTTGTATGGAGTTTTTATAGAAAGCGAAAGCTTTTGCAAGTGGACAGGCTACACGAAGTTTCAAAGCGTGCAGCCAAAGCGTCAACAGTCAGATGCACGTGTGATCATGTGTTGCCTGCGTGTGCTTTATGTACAGGAAGGCTAGATCCAATGCAGTCACAAGAACCATTTGAACAGCTTTCTGTACAGGAACGTGTAGCACTTGTTGATCCCAGTTTTCATCCTGTGTTGTCGTTCTCTGATGGTACGTTTAGTCATGAATACAAAAAAAATCCACTAAATTTTAAATTGGAATTTCGTTCAGTACTGTCATGTTGATATGTTAATAGGACTTGTTATGTGTATATAATCCAGGACAGTTCATACTTGTAATACATTCATAGATTACTCTTCCCTGCAATGTTGAATTATTTAATATCTGAATAAAAGTTCGAACGTGTTGAGTAACAACGAAAAACTTTCTGGCTGTATCTCTCACGTGTTTTATTTTATTGTAGAAATTGTACATGGAACACATTTAGAAGCTATTATGAAATCAGTGGAGTGGCAGCAGAAAATGTTGAGAGGCAATTTACGAGTTACCCGAGTGAAAGATAAAGATAGCAACGAAAGAAGAAATAAGAAACTTCCTAATAGAACAAAGTATACCGCGCGATTAAAGAAATCATCCTCGACCATCCTTACTGCAAGTACGTATCGCGAGGACGTCATTTTGCAATCTATCGTTCTTGCCTGTTAAAAGAATGAATCACTCTCCTTGTTTGTGTCTTTTTGTTGCGAAATAATATATACCGTTTGTAACAGGGATCAAGAGAAAAATGTTGAAAAATGGAAAGAGAACGAGACTCAGTCACGAGAGAAGCGTCGTGTCTGGATTGAGTAAGAAAAAAGTATCAAAGTTGCCGACTGAGGATGACGACGACGTTAGCGCGCTTTCAAGTTCCAGCAAACACTCATCCCCAGTGCCTTCTCCATTGCAACACGTTACTGCCTCGTCGGAGAAAAACGTTGTTAAAGAGAAAAGTTCCAATTCACATGGGTAAGCGTTGCAACGTTCACGCATCACGTGCTTTTCCATTAGCGAGATCACTATATCGATCCCGCACGTAAAGTTTTCCATAATACAGAGTGCTTGCATAATACGGAGTGTATGAAATGGAGGACGATTATGTTTCCTATTCATGAAATCGTCAGCCGCTTATCGTCCATGTACATTCAGAAGATACTATTGTTTCACAAACTATCCATGTGATTCATTTGTGATATTTTTTTTCAGGCGTTTGCGTCAAAATTCGTACGACATCGATAATATAGTCATCCCTTATAGCGTTGCTGCTTCAACTAGACCTGAAAAGTTACAATATAAGGAGATATTAACGCCAAAGTAAGATATTACATAATCTACAATTCATGGTTCCAATTTCCAAATAAATTTAACTTAATATGATTAATTTAACTATTACTGTGTTGTGTATTAAAGCATTTTCTTATTTCTTAAAGATGGAGATTGTGCGACGAACCCTCGAAAATGGATGTGAAGAACGGTGTGATGCACAGGTCGGGTCAGGACAGTGACGTAAGTAAATAATGAGAGATAATCGCTTATATGCGATAAAAAGCTGCACGGTAAAATGAAGTTACCTATTATTTTCTCTTTCGTAACTATGTTAATTCAATGACTCTGACAGTTTGAAGATATGTCGGACGAAACGATCGCCCTGAGGCACGAGCGTAGCGAACGTGAGGAATATAAACGTTTCATGACGTATCTCAACACGCCAAACCAACCGCGTATTCGTAATCGTCGTATCGACAGCAGAGCAGACAGCGGTGCGAATACGCCAGGTACGTCGTCCTTGCGTTCACGTGTAAATTTTTATCACGCCGCTACTACAAGCTGTTCACTATTCTCGATACTTTTTTCTTTCGAGATATCTTTCAGATAGCTCTCTCAATATATTGGGCATAACTATCTAACAATAAATCAATGAAATTATACTTTTATGAGAAAAAAACATTTCTCTTTTTTTTAGATCCTATGTCGCCGCACGCGAGCAGTGACTTCGGTGGAGACGTGACATCCCCGATCACGTCTCCACCTGCCACTCCGTCTCAGGTGCAGGACACAGAGTTATCAGGTTTAGATTCGCACCGGCCGTCTGCATTACAAAATTCTTTGCGACGTCGCACCATGCCCGCTTTAAGACTTGGGAAAGACGATGCCACGGTCGCATTTACCGAAGATGATAACGAGGTAAGTACGCGCGGTAACGATATCTCGTATCGTTTAAATCAATATCACGTGATGTCGTAATGTCTCTGAAATTTTCGTACAGATATTGCCGTATGAGCCAAGAGTATTTCCATTATCCGAAGAAGTCTATGACAAGATGTTGGAGGTGATGCCGGACGGACACTGGCAAGCTTCATCAACATCCTTATGCTCCCGTGACGAAGACAAGGGCGATGATGTACGTACATTGCACTTGTACTAATACCTCTTTCATCGAGTATCTAAGTGAGAAATTTTTATTATATATGTAAAATGTATGTGGGGGTGGTGCTAGTACTGACTATTAATGTACACTTTGAGCCAACTTTCATGGCTCCTCTCGAGGCTATTTCCGGTAAGCAGTAACCACTTGACGCTTTATACTTCTGTAACGTAATTCAATTTTATTTTTCATCTCACATACACATAGACACGCAATTAGCAAATGTTGAATGACGAGAAGAAGTATCGCGTTAAGTTAAAGCGATCGTTACAGTACTTTCCATGCGTTGTAGAATCTTTTACACGACTCTAGTTTGCTCCTTGGTTCACGCAGCTGCCGTATGAGAGCTTGCAATTTTAAATAGAATTTTTTCGCAAAGCGACCAAAATCGGACATAGGTGATTACCGACAACAACGGTTGTATTTAATTATTCGTATTTCTACATTTCTAGGAAGGCGAAATGGATTCTCCCGAATCGGATTCGACCGAATCGGCTTGTTGCGATATAGACGGTGAGGATCCCAATGATCCTGAATGGACAGTAGCTGACGATAGAGACACTGAAAAGGAGAGAATACGTCCGACGGCTAAGAGATAGGATATAAAACTCTTAATAAGTACAGTATGTCTACGTCGTTACTATATGCAGAAGCTACCTGTCAATTGTTATATATACCTGTCGGTCATGTAACATTGCACCTTAAGTTAATTACGAACCTGTAAAGTGTATTATAAATATAAATTTTATAACTTCATTCTCTCTGCTTAAATTAATGGAAAAACCTTAATTACGTATTGCTTTTTTTAAGTATTGCTATTTTGGCCAAAGCATTAGAATTCTAGCGTCATATTACGTTTAGAATACGCATTATTGATTTCCCTGCTCTGTTATACATAGTAGATAGTATTAACTCTCCGAAAGAAGTGGAATCTCATGACAACGTGAGTGGTTTTGTACAAAACTGTATTTATGTTGCGATCATAATTCTTCACTCTTTAAATAAAAGTGCCAATCGAAATATTCTATAGCACTTCCAATATATACGTGCTTTTTCTATTTTTGTGAGAGAATACACCGCAGCCTGCGTGACATACTCTAGAAATGTTAATATTACAAATGCTTAAATGTATGTTACACGTTTACCCATTATGTCAAAACTCGTATTTAAATCCTTGTACATTGTCCGTTACATAACTCTTGCACCTAATTTCGCAAACGTAATTTAAGTAACAGTCAAAATCAGTTTCCTTAAGCATGGATTTTTTTTAGACTTAAGGTAATCCCATTTTAATTTTCGTATATGACCGAGTCGTGTCTTAAGATATTACTATTACATTATACAGGTAAGGATAACGTTATAAAAATTAAAATTATAAAAGAAAAATTGTAAATTTATGTATTATAGAAGATATTCTTGACATAGCGTGTGAAAATTTGATGTAGAACAGAAATTACTAATATTAAAATGTGTTATCAGTTAAATATTCTGATGCTCTGTATTTTGACTGTTATGTTCTTATCATTGGTATAATTTGTGAAGTATATATTCACTTGTTAATTTAAGCGTTCATATAAATAAAGTCTTGTGTCACTGTGATTTCGCAATTTTCTAATAGTCTGTGATACTACTGTATTTTCTTTCGTATTAAAAGTTTTATAACCAGGCAAAATGTCTACGAATTCTTAAAGTCGCATGCGTTTCAATTTTGTATATCACTTTTACGAGATGCAAATAAAAATAGGTGACAACAGAAACTGTTCTTTCTTTTACAACATGCTAATTCTTATGCAAGCACTCGTTTATATATACATATATCGATAAAATAATAAAAACCATACGAATTCGTCAAACAATTCGAAATGTCGTATCTGATACATTTACGTTATTGATTTGACTGCGTTTGTCGACCAATCGACTATATCATTTTATCGCTTTTGACCGTTAATTTTATATCGTTTGTAATTTTCATGTATATTAATTTTGTTTACACGCTGAAGATGACACAAAGAAAGTGTCGAAACATCGAAATATGTATTGCCTAGTATATTTTATCTTATTGACTATATATTGATTGCGCAATAATTACCGCGCGTGGCTCCGCGTGCCTCTCTCACACTATTCCCTATTTGACAATACGATCAACACCACGAAACAAACTTTTATTACGATAATTCTGCATTTTTTTAGATTCCAATTCAAGTATCCTTTAGTTACTGAATTTTTGATGCACCAACTTATAGTAACCGATAAATAATTATAGATATATGTTTTGCGCAATTGGTTTATATTTACTATTATCAAAATACTACATTATTATATCCAAATTTTCGTATAATACACTTTAAAAGTAATACAATATAAAAGTACAAAAATATGGAAAATACGACAGTGACACAATGTAACAATATGTCACATATCGTTAGATCACCCATTTAATTGTATCTAGATAAATATTAGAATGTGAACAAATTCAGTTGCATGTACTTTATCCAGTTCCAAAACAAATAAATTCAGTATCCAAGGTGTCTAGATCCACCACAACTGCAGTATACGTAGAGGAAAACTTTGGAATACAAATTAGCCTGACCGCCTGATTTTCTTCACCTACAAGTGTTAAATATACTTTGAATAATATCGTAAATATAAAAAGACATCAAGTATCATCAAAATATGTACGAATGATTATCGTAGCGTCAGACGCAGGAAAATAATATATCGTACTGTATGAACATTTCGTGTTTAATAGTACTTTTTGAGGCACGTAAATAAACTTGACAATTTTTTAAATGTAAATACTTATATTCTCCAAGATATATTTACCTTCCCACAGTTTTGTATCGGCTTCATCTGTGTTACCCACAAAGTATATATCCGGACAGTACGTAATGATAAATGGATCTTTTGCAGAGTAAGGGTGTACCGGTAATGTATCTGGAGCAGTCGGGCACATGTGCTTCCAAAGCAGCGTTCTCTCCAACCAGTCTAAAGGAGAGATGTCTGCATCACCGGTTGCTTTTATAATATCTTCAATAGGCTGTCCGCTGCTGCCCATTATTATACGTTCGGCGACTTTGCCGACCCACGGATTAGTCGCACCTTTTAAACTTTGAAATCTAAAAAATGCCACATTATTTCTATCTAGGACTGTATTCGCATGTGGATTTAGGATGGAAAATCTTATAAATCCGTGTTATCTATTTTGTATTTAAAAAAATAGATGAAATATATATATATTCTGAATTGCTGTAATATGCCGCAAAATCTTCTAGTAAATATAAAATAGCAAAAAACTTTTAAAACTGTATTCTTTGCTGTGCGATAGAGAAAAAATTTAAGTAGCTCTAAAAAGCTGTAATCTTATCTTGTTCATTGAGAAGTCTCGGAACGTATATCTACTGTAATCAGTATGTATATAACGTGTAGGTACAATACCTAGACGTTAGTGGTAGTATGCATGGATGCAGCGGTTTCTGTGGTAACATTGCATTGGTAGGATCATGTTGACCTGGCATTAAAGTGATGCAACAACATTCTGCTATTTCGGAGAGAAATGCGTCCACAAGTCTCGTTGCCACAGCGACTTCCTTCGTTATAGCGGCGTCCTGCGCCTTCCCTTCGGCGTGTCCCATTAGGGTATTCGTCTTAGTGACAATTTTGACAGAATTACCTACATAGAATGCAATACCCCAGGATGAAAATGGGCAATGTTACGACTATACGATTAGAAGTATTAAAGATTCAATATACCAGCAATGATAACTCGAACAATGCCAGTGGCGTCTTCTTGCGTCGTCATATCTCCCGCCATCCCACATATCCATTCGGTTAAGAGATTCAGTGATAAGGTCTTGGAGGTATTTGCCAAGTCGAGTCCCGACAGGAACACTATTTTTCCTTTGGATTTTGGATGTGCCGGTGAACTTCTAGGCACGCAACCAGGAAAACACCATTCCTTGATCTGAATAAAATATGATATTTTAATTTGATATACCTGTGTTTTAATTTCAATTTTACTTACCTCAAAACTGCCATTCTTGTCTTTGTAGCCTAAAATGGCACATACGACACCTGTAACATAGTTCTTCAAAGTAGCGTCATCAACTACTAATTTGATACGCAGCATCTCGTCTTCCAAGAACAAGTGATCCTTTTCTGAGCAGTACGTCGACTTTGGCTCAGACAATGAGAGTTGATGATCCTCGCTTAATTCACGTAATATCGATGGCTTCCATTTTTGATGTTTAAAGAGCGTACCAATTATCACGCATTCTTGTCCTTCGAAATCTTCTAATTCCGCTAACTTTAATATTGGAACTTCGCCTGGGGAAAGGGGGGGAAACAATAAAATTTTTGCTCGCTTAATTCTATAGTCGCAATCACAGAATATTTGTGTACAAAAAAACTTGTTTCTTATAATAGAGTAGAATTCTGTTAAAAATAGCACTGTGTATAAAAGCTCACCCCATTTTGCGACAACTCGTGGTATCAATGTCTCTCTCAACTCTGCCAATCTCGCCGCATATATGCTACAAAATTGCTTAGAGAAATCGATCACGTTGTCATCGAACGTGCTGGTCAAGTCTTCATATTGTACTTGTTGCCTCTTAAGTTCCTGTGGCTCTTCGTTTCCTGGTTTGGAAAGCAGGTCTCCGGCAGAGTCGTTAGACATATTTATGTCAATACAAATATATTCTGTACATAATAAAAAGAATCGCATACCTATTATTAATCAATATTTTATGTACACAATAAAAAGAATATTTAATTATCTATTAAACCTCAAATTGATAGACACCGCTTTAACTTGACACACAATAATGTGCCCCAATCTATTTACGTTATGTTTGGATGTATTTAAAATATGTAAACGTGTTCACGCAAGTGTGCACGTGTGTTTCGTAATAATCGCACGCCATCGAAAAACAAGGGTCACCTTTCTGATACACTAACAATACTATTTATTTACAGTCGTACTTCAGCACACTTCAAATCTAACCTTTACGTCCGTACTTCCTTTCACCAAGAGATCAACATAAAAGCATAGAGAATATAGTGTGTATAATATATATATATATATATATTTAAAAAACCAAAAAGGCGAACTGAGAAGAATTTAGGAAAAGGTTTGTGTAAAAAAACTTTAAGTAATTAGTTGGAGACCGGTGATAAAATAAGTCCTGTTACAAATCTAAAAAAAAAAAATCTTTCTTTCACCATTTTCGTTATTCTTTATAAATATCAAGGGCCCCTTGCTTCTCGATATTTTCAACGTTAATTCGGGTTTACTTACAGGCACACGACGTTTATCTAAATGCGGTACCGCATGCCAAAAGAGGAAAGCACGTGTGCGAGCACTGTGAGCCTTTCGCGCCTTTTTCACCCTCGCAGAGCCGCAGGCCGCAGAGCACCTGTTCGAAGGAGAGAAGGAGACGGCAATGGCAATGGACACGGTACACGGTAGACGGCGGGTATCTCACAGGTGACGCTGGTTCGTTTCAAGCGTTTCAAGTGCAGGAAGCACGCGACGGTGCGCGAGGAGTAGATAAGCACCAAGCAGATTCCTGGGAGAAGACAGAAGAGCGAGACGACGAATTTGATTGGCCGCGTCGTCATCGTATTCTACACGTGTTTCCGTCCTTGACGGGATCACGCCATCACGCACGTGGTGAGATTGGCGTAACACAGCCAATCCAATGAATTTGTTTTCTCCAAATTTGACTTTTCTTCTTCGTGCGGGATGGCTAAAATCATCGCCATCATCGGTTGTCACTCTCTCCAAGTGCCGCTGACGGAACCCGAGGACCGGTATATTTTCCAGGAGATTTCTTTCCCCGTAGCGCTGCGTTCGAGTGAATTTTGTTGAGACACTTTTGCCTGTAAAGGCAAAAGATAAGCGAGAAAGCTATGCAACATTGTATTCACGAGAAGGTACGTGGAATCTTTCAGCTGCGCGACAACGCGTCGTGACGAAATGTTTGCCACTTTGTTACATATGTAGTTATTTCGACCGTTTGACCTGTGCTCTTTTACATGAATCAGACGTATGTAAAATTATTATCTCGAGGGACGTTCCTTCGTTCCTTGGCCACGTTGATATTTCTAGAATATGTATGTACATTTCCACGGTTGGAGCGACAACCTTTCAAATAGTGTTTACGTTTTTTTTTTACTGTCTGATTTCAAACGCACGAAGGCATGGAACGTAACGTGTTAAAGGAAAGAAAAAATATAAATGAGGAAATATATTTTATTACAACGAAAAATTAACAACGATTCAACAGCTGTAAAGATTTAAAGGAATATATATTGAGAGTATTGTTCAAATCTTTATTAAAAAGTATACATAGCGATGTTTGCGTAGTCCTAAAAGTATGCAAATGACAACACACTGTATCTGTCAACAGAGCCAATAAACACACGTCAAGTTTCTCATCCTTGGGAGATTAGACTACATTACGCGAGCTTTGTTAGACGGTTTATATTTATATATACGTGGACTCAATGGTAAGTTTTTCAAATCCAGTTTTGATGCCTAACAAATACATCTCATTTACAAATCACGTAATCTCTAAGGGCATTTTAGTTACGGGGATTGTTGAAAATATGGGTAAGGACATATACTTAATAATCAGACGACAAAAGGTGACATTGTACCTCGACACACAGGAGAATGTCAGAGTTCTTGAGCTCAAGAAAATGATCGAAGGTAAAGCGTATGTCTCTCTCTCTCTCTCTCTCTCTCATGATAAATATTTATAGATGTAATGGCAAAATCATGATCTTGACGTATCACGAGTTACATTACGATTTATTCGCGATGAGTTACACGCGTATTATTTCAGTAGAGACGTTAATATTGAAATGAATATATTTTACAGCTATATTGAAAGTACAGCCAGAAGATCAACAGCTATTTGTGCTTGCAAACGATCTTCTTGACGAATGTAAGGAATTATCCGATTCGACTGCATTGTTCGACTGTGGACTGACGTCAGCGACGGCAAATATAATGCAGCCTGCGGTATTAGGCCTAGCTGTGCGAAAAGAGGATGGTTCGTTTGAAAGTCTCGAAATAACATCGTATTCCGAATCAGAATGGCCAAACGTATCAGAAATTTTCAGCCAGGAAGAAAAAAATGACGCCATTTGTGAAAAGTATCAGAAAAAGTATGATGACGTAAATGACGCAAAAAATGATATACTAAGTAAAGCAACTCATAAATGAAGCGACAATCAAGTTTTGTGTTCTGTGCGACTCAATGACTGTTCGAGTAGTTCTAGATAGTGCGAAAACAGGAGATATATATACATCATAAACCCTACAGCATAATGATACCAAATACGTATGCTCATATTGAGTTGTACATAACTTTAAGGAGGTACAGTCTCAAAACTTTGCAATATCGAACTTGATAGGAATATCACGTGGCCATGTTACATCTTCATAGTATTGAAATCTGATAATGACAACGTCATGTTGCATACGTCATACGTAGAAAAGAAAACTTCGTGTTACTTGATAAACCATGACATAACGTCGTAAGTGATGGCGTGAAACTTTTCATAACGCGCGTAATATTTCACGCAAAACATTTGTGTGCGTATATATTTGTTCATCTTCTTCACCGCGTTCATCTTTACATGGACCTCTGCGTACTCTCTTTTCTCTTTTCTTCTTTACGTTTTTTCCTCATAATTGCCAAAGCCTTTAAGAACAAATAGTCTTCGTTAAATTGTATTCACTTGTATACGTGACTTGTAACGATAGCAACAAGAACGTACCGCGCAAAAACATCCGTAGAAGCAGAAGAATGGATGCATCTATAATATGGTACGCGCTTGTGTGCTGGAGATATGTCACCTATTAACATATATATATGTAAAAAATGACGTAGTACTTTAATGTAATAAAAAATATTTTTAAATATATTTTCAATATTATACAGGTCATATATCACTCTAAAAATTTCTAAATAAAAATACTAATTAAATATTTGACATAAAGTATTGTTTGCAATAAAAAATAATTTTTAATTTAACACGTATTTAATAAACTTTTCATTTCAGAAAGATTTGCTTTCCATACAGATTTCAGAGATCCGACTTACACCAGGAATGAACGTAATACGTAATAAATTCAATGGTAGTGAGCGACGCAGAGCGACGTAAAATCGTGCTCTTAAAATTCTCTCAAATACGGCGATCGATTTCTCGCCTTCTGACGTCAGAACGACACGGCTGCGACGAGCCTCGAGGGAAGCGAAAAACGAAAAACACTATAGACCGAGTTCCAAAAGTCCACGCTACCATATCTCTCATTTCTCTCATTCGTTCTCTCGCGCGCCACGAGACAAGCCGACAAGCTTCCAATGGCCAATAGGCGTGGTTCTCGATAAGCAAAGCCGATGATACGGGCCTAAAGAAGGATTCACACCAATGGGAGAGTTGGTTTTCTAGAGACCTTAGCAGAATCTCTAGAAAACGAACTCTCCCATTGGATATTGGACGTCGTATCGATATCGGACGCGATGTGAATCCTCCATTAACGAAGAGGCCTCCTTGCCACGCCGGCGCGTTTAGGGGACGTCGCGCGTGTTTGCAGTTGCAGCGACGGCGACGTGTTTACGGCCCGCACATCCGCGCAGAGAGAGAGAGAGAGAAAGAGAGAGAGAGAGAGAGAGAGAGAGAATAGTAATTTGTCCGCGGCGTTTTTTTTTCCTGCGCGCCAGACGAGCGAAGCGATCTGCCAGAGGCCAGAGGGGCAGATAAGCGAGAGAAGCGATAGCGAATGGGCGTGTGAGACGGGGAATCTCTTTCCGTACGGCGACCGGCGACTATACGGCGTGCCCAGTTTTTGTCGGGATCTCTCTCCTTTCCCTTTTACGCTTTCGGGGTGACGGCGACGGCGACGGCGACGGTCCGCCTGCGCCCACGGGATGGACGCGAGCAGCGAGCAGCCGGCCGCGATCGCGGCCGCCGAGTCCGCCTCCGCCAGCGAGCAGGAGCACAATGACGAGCCCATGGAGGAGACGGAGGAGTACAGCTACGAGGGCGAGGATTACAGGCATTTTATGCCGCGCGGCCGCGGTGGTTTTCGGTACGTATCGCGATCCGCGCTTCCCGGCACCGCGGATCCTCGCGGTGTTCTCTTCTCCCCGCGTCTCTTCCTTCCCTCTTCCCTCCGCGCTGCCTCTTCTCGAACTCGCATGCTCGCTCGATTTCGCTCTCTCCGCGATGTTTTCGTCTGATCCGAGGACCCGATGGCGTCCCGACCGACTCCAACCTCCCCCGTCCCCCGTCCCCCGTCCCCGCCGCGTCCCCGACAGATGACACGCGCGGAATGTCGGATTTGTTTAAAATCTTTGGACCGACGACGAGATTTAAATAATACTTTAATTAATACTGATCTTTTAACTAATGATCTCTTTGCAAGCGACATTCTATCCTCTGTAGCGGTGTTACAGCGCGAGTACGCGCGGTGCCTGACGCGAGCAGATGAAATCTGCAGCGTGGTGGAGCGGAGCGTATCTTTTTGTTTTTCTTAAGAGTCAAGCAAGATTCGGAAAGCTACTTCTGGTCTTCCTTCCTCTAAGTGGCATGGTAGAGCTGTAAGATATCTAGTCACAACATTTAAAAATAATTTAAGGGGTCGTGGCAGAGGTGGGTTTGATTTCCCTATGAGAGGTGGCTCTCCAAGGTTTCGAGGAAGAGGATTTGGCCCGCGCGGGCCAATGTTCCGCGGCGCGAACAATGGCTTTCCCTTCGAAGCCCCGCCAAGGCCAACGTGTCCGCCTGGTCCGGCAGGCCCAAGATTCCGAGGACCGCCGCCATTTGATCCCAGTTGGGGACCTATGGGACCACCCAATTTTATGGGCCCTCCAAATTTAATGGGACCTCCAGGAATGGTACGCGTCATTTTGAATCTTTCGATACGTATAAACGTCGTAGATTTCTACGTCTCAAATCTTATTGCTTTAGCCACCACCACACATGATGAATGGCCCTATGGGTGCAGGACCAGGCCCATATGGACCACCTCCTGGCATGGGGCCACCTAACATGAATAGCGTAAGTTACGTGCACGGAAAGAGAAAATAGATACTCAATAAAGAGCAGTTAAAGGTACCTTTCCAAATAAAATATATATATGCCATAGATTCCAGGACAGCAACAGCCACCCCAGCAAGCGCAACAACACGCGAACATTCCAGGTCTAGATCTCAACGGAGAAGTGTGGGTAGAGACGAAAGCGGCTGATGGAAAGTCGTATTATTACAATATTCGTACGAGAGATACCACATGGACTAAACCGGAGGGACCAAATGTAAAGGTCATGGTACAAGATCAGGTAAATAAATACCTCGTGACGTCCGACCCTTACCGACGAAATTGATTAAATGCTTTTCTTTTATTATTATTTGCAAGTAATCTAAATTCTTTGCTTACTCTAATCATGCGTATACATATGCTTTTTTTATTATTATTTTCAAGTAATCTAAATTCTTTACTTATCCTGGTCATGATTACACATCTAAGCCGTATATCTTCTCGACATCAAAATTATATTTATATTTTTTTTTATCAGTTTTATGACATATATTTTTACGCGTAAAATATAGGGACAAAAACGAAGTGTAAATAAAGAAGTGTATATCAAAAAATTGACACGTGGCAATGTCGTAACAAAGATTGGTAAATTTATTCGCTAGTCAATGAAATTGCAAGTTTATTTTGTTCTTTTGTATAAGATTTGATGTGATTAATTTAGAACACGTCTAGATAAAAAATATTTCACGGTTTTGCAGTTGGAACAGTTGGTACATGGTGCTTCAAAGCAAGCGACAACGCGTTCTACCACACCTACTCCATCAAGTAGTACGCCGACCAAGATGAGTGAAAACAGAATCTCTCAAGGCGGCGAGCAATCATCCTCTAACAACACAGATGCCATTAATCAATTAAGTACGGCGCCTCCTGGCACTGGACCACCTCCTACATTGAATGATACCCCAGATGTCAACAATCAAGCGTCCGAGACAAATCAGTCAAATGGTAATTTGAACGGTATATTAATACTATTTAATTTTGAAAACGTTTCTCGAGCTTTGTGTGTATATATCTTAGCACGCAAGTTCTTTAAATTTATCAAAGTATCGTCATTAAAAGATAAAAATTTAAAAATGTCAGGTACAGCACCCACGACAGTTACCAATACGCCATCGATAAATACACCGGCAGTAAATACGAACATGATGCAACCGCCGCCAAATATGATCCCTATGCAGCACAGAATGCCAAATCAGTTTGGTAATCCGATCGCAACGCAATTCGGAGCAGCACCCTTTGGGATGCCACCGCCTGGTTTTCAACCTTTTGGCGGTTATGGGCCACCACAAACAAATTGGGGTACGTATAAAATATGCGATTGAAAAAGATATATCTGACGAATACGACGAAGAAAAGAAATATTTTAACAATTTTTATAGATTAACTTATAGTGCACCTGCTTTCTTTTTTTTAGGTATGCCACAAATGCCTCATGGTGTAATGACACCTCAAGCACCCCCTGAAGATCCTGCCATACTTGCACAGCTTGATTCTGACATAGTAGCGGCTGCTATGGTCTGGACCGAGCATCGTGCACCAGATGGCAGATTCTATTATTACAACAGTAAAGCAGGAGAATCAGTATGGGAAAAGCCACAAGCCTTGAAAGATCTGGAGAGTACGTAATACGTAATTTCCAACATTTATCTTTATAGAGCAAAGTAACCAAGATCTTAGAATCTTGAAACATAATAATGTCATGTAAGTTTTAAATGATATATGTTCTGAAATTTTGTTTTGTTAGATGCGAAATTAACATTACGGCAGAAAAACGAGGAAGCAAATGTTGTCCCTACCACTACCGCTGTTACAACCACTGCCGTTACCAACAACACTACCACCATTGTTGAACCTGGCAAACAAGAAAAGCCGCAAGAGAACGCACATGAAACCAAAGATAGTACAAAAGATGCGGATAGCGCTAAACCGAAGAAGGAGGAAAATATTGCAAAGGAACCTGCAAAGCCTCAAGACAAGTCTAGACCAATTTCTAGTACGCCAGTGCCTGGAACTCCATGGTATATTTAGCGATGACTTGTTTTTCATATTGTGCTTTCACATTGTTTCTTGCTATATACTCATAATGTGTATATTTACATGAGCTAGCGAATATATTTGTATGTGAAGGTGTGTTGTTTGGACGGGAGACGGACGAGTATTTTTCTACAATCCTTCTTCGAGGATATCAGTTTGGGAAAGGCCGGATGATCTTGTTGGCCGTCAGGATGTGGACAAGATGATATCAACGCCTCCGGACGCGATTGGTGCTACAAAACCACCACGTCAGTCGGATTCCAGCGAAAGCAGCGATGAAGATCAACCCACACCAGCCAAAAAGCCGAAACACGAGGAACCCAAAAGTACGTGAAAAGCTACTCTGAAATGATGTATACAAGATTGGATTAATACAGGATTTATATATAAGTTTTATATTATTATTCAGGCACAACACCCATCAAGGAAGAAGAGGAGAAGGAAGGGAAGAAGACCATCGACATCGGCAAGGAGGCTGCAATAGAGGCCGAAGTGAGAGCAGCGAGGGAGAGGGCGATAGTTCCATTGGAAACGAGGATCAAATCGTTCAGAGATATGCTTGCAGAGAAAGATGTAACGTATTACATTATTATCATTTGTACAGACCGTTATGTCACTTTATTGTACCGAGAGTAACCGACGTCGTACGTTTTCAGGTATCTGCATTCAGTACCTGGGAAAAAGAACTTCATAAGATTGTATTTGATCCACGCTATTTACTTCTAACGTCGAAGGAGAGGAAACAGGTCTTCGAGAAATACGTGAAGGAGAGGGCGGAAGAAGAAAGG